CATTCCTTAACTGCATTTCCGATTAAATAAACTACAACTATGTATACAATATTAAATACGAACAAAAGAACTGTAAAGAATACATAGTCTAGTTATAAAAAATAGAAAAAAACATGTAAAGGATTTAAACAGTCTTTAGATGGTTTGATTGTATAATCTGGGAAAATGAAAAAAATAAAAAATAGAGCGGAAGGGTTTAATTTTTTATATATATTTCGGTATATTCAAAAAAAAAAAAGAGTTTAAAAGGTCATTAGTCTTTTAGCTTGAACACAGCATTAAAAGGGCAAAGAACAGTAGAAAAGTAAAAAAAAAAACAATCATTTGTTTATTTCATCAAACGTCAACAATTGCAACAACTGCATGCTGTTCCCAAAATCAATTTATTGGTTCTCTCAGTATTTGTTCACACCCACTTAATACACATACATTCTACACAAATCTAAATATAATAGATATGGATAGGAAGGTATACTCCGAATATTCAAACATATTTGAGTTCAAATGAAAATTCAGTTTCGAATAAAGGTAAAACATAAAATTTTGGACTTAAAAGTAAAATTTTCTTTAAAAACTAGAGACTAAATCCTTGGTCAAAAGGGTTGAAATGTGATATTTATAAGACAAAATATTAAGGTCCACTCTCTTTTTTATTTCCCAACATTTCCCAAACATGTATAAATGTTGGGTAAGGAAAATGGAAGATATTTTTTACCAACATATATAAAATTGTAAGGTTTAGGACGAAACTCTCTGATTTCGGTGGTATTGTAATGCCTAGACATTATTTAAGTGTAATTTTTGCACCAGCACAATTTAATAATGACGTCATATTGTAGTTTTTAGTAGTATTTGAATCTCCCATCCCCTTTACATAGTAGATTCAAAAGTGGTTGTATCTTATAGTATATTTAATCCTGCATTCTTGTTTTCTTTGCTTCACTCAGTTGCTCTTTGCTTTTTCGTGGGTGTTGCTATTGTTGCATGTCGTGTATTTTGTTTTTATTTTTAATCTGATGACTTCAAAATTTGAAATTAATTGATAAACAAAAACAAAATTTAAGACATGTCTTTTCCCTTCGTTTCACGTCAATCTCTTTGATGATGATGAATAATAACATTGACATACATATATGGCTCATAAATTGGCGGAGTAGTTGAGTATGGTGCACACTTATGTTTTTCCTGTAGACAATGTAGATTGTATTTAACCCTCAAATGTTCAAATATAATTTTATAGCACTGAATTCCTAAAAACTTCTTAAAATTCCTTTCTATTAGACTTAGACTAGACTAGACTATAGACTAGACTATAGTCTAGACTATAGACTAGACTATAGACTAGACTATAAACTAGACTATAGACTAGATTATAGACTAGACTATAGACTAGACTATAGACTAGACTAAAGACTAGACTATAGACTAGACTATAGACTAGACAATAGACTAGACTAGACTATAGACTAGACTAGACTATAGACTAGGCTAGACTATAGACTAGACTAGACTATAGACTAGACTATGGACTAGACTATAGACTAGACTATAGACTAGACTATAGACTAGACTATAGACTAGACAATAGACTAGACTAGACTATAGACTAGACTAGACTATAGACTAGGCTAGACTATAGACTAGACTAGACTATAGACTAGACTATGGACTAGACTATGACTAGACTATAGACTACACTATAGACTAGACTATAGACTAGACTATAGACTAGATTATAGACTAGACTATAGACTAGACTATAGACTAGACTAAACTAGACTATAGACTAGACTATAGACTAGACTATAGACTAGACTATAGACTAGACTATAGACTAGACTATACTAGACTATAGACTAGATTATAGACTAGACTATAGACTAGACTATAGACTAGACTATAGACTAGATTATAGACTAGACTATAGACTAGACTATAGACTAGACTAAAGACTAGACTATAGAGACTATATAGACTAGACTATAGACTAGACTAAAGACTAGACTATAGACTAGACTATAGACTAGACTATAGACTAGACTATAGACTAGACTATAGACTAGACTATAGACTAGACTAGACTGGACTATAGACTAGACTATAGACTAGACTATAGACTAGACTATAGACTAGACTATAGACTAGACTATAGACTAGACTATAGACTAGACTATAGGACTATAGACTAGACTATAGACTAGACTATGACTAGACTATAGACTAGACTATAGACTAGACTATCGACTAGACTATAGACTAGACTATAGACTAGACTATAGACTAGACTATAGACTACTTAGACTAGCTATAGACTAGACTATAGACTAGACTATAGACTAGACTATAGACTAGACTATAGACTAGACTATAGGACCCTAGACTAACTATGACTAGACTATAGACTAGACTATAGATAGACTATAGACTAGACTATAGACTAGGACTATAGACTAGACTATAGACTGGACTATAGACTAGACTATAGACTGGACTATAGACTAGGACTATAGACTAGACTATAGACTGGACTATAGACTAGACTATAGACTAGACTATAGACTAGACTATAGACTAGACTATAGACTAGACTATAGACTAGACTATAGACTAGACTGTAGACTAGACTATAGACTAGACTATAGATGAATGTTATCAATGTTATTATTCATCATCTCTTTGATGATGATGAATAATAACATTGACATAGAAGCACATACATATATGGCTCATAAATTGGCGGGTAGTTGAGTATGGTGCACACTCATGTTTTTCCTGTAGACAATGTAGATTGTATTTAACCCTCAAATGTTCAAATATAATTTTATAGCACTGAATTCCTAAAAACTTCTTAAAATTCCTTTCTATTAGACTTAGACTAGACTATAGACTAGACTAGACTATAGACTAGACTATAGACTAGACTATAGACTAGACTAGACTATACTAGACTAGACTATAGACTAGACTATAGACTAGACTATAGACTAGACTAGACTATAGACTAGACTAGACTATAGACTAGACTATAGACTAGACTATAGACTAGACTATAGACTAGACTATAGACTAGACTATAGACTAGACTATAGACTAGGCTAGACTATAGACTAGACTAGACTATAGACTAGACTATGGACTAGACTATAGACTAGACTATAGACTAGACTATAGACTAGACTATAGACTAGACTATAGACTAGACTATAGACTAGACTAGCCTATAGACTAGACTATAGACTAGACTATAGACTAGACTATAGACTAGACTATAGACTAGACTATAGACTAGACTATAGACTAGAACTATAGACTAGACTATAGACTAGACTATAGACTAGACTATAGACTAGACTATAGACTAGACTATAGACTAGACTATAGACTAGACTATAGACTAGACTATAGACTAGACTATAGACTAGACTATAGACTAAGACTATAGACTAGACTATAGACTAGACTATAGACTAGACTATAGACTAGACTATAGACTAGACTATAGACTAGACTATAGACTAGACTATAGACTAGACTATAGACTAGACTATAGACTAGACTATAGACTAGACTATAGACTAGACTATAGACTAGACTATACGACTAGACTATAGACTAGACTATAGACTAGACTATAGACTGACTAGACTAGACTATAGGACTAGACTATAGACTAACTATAGACTAGACTATAGACTAGACTATAGACTAGACTATAGACTAGACTATAGACTAGACTATAGACCTAGACTATAGACTAGACTATAGACTAGACTATAGACTAGACTATAGACTAGACTATAGACTAGACTATAGACTAGACTATAGACTAGACTATAGACTAGACTATAGACTAGACTATAGACTAGACTATAGACTAGACTATAGACTAGACTATAGACTAGACTATAGACTAACTATAGACTAGACTATAGACTAGACTATAGACTAGACTATAGACTAGACTATAGACTAGACTATAGACTAGACTATAGACTAGACTATAGACTAGACTATAGACTAGACTATAGACTAGACTATAGACTAGACTATAGACTAGACTTACTAGACTAGACTATAGACTAGACTAGACTAGACTATAGACTAGACTATATACTAGACTATAGACTAGACTATAGACTAGACTATAGACTAGACTATAGACTAGACTATAGACTAGACTATAGACTAGACTATAGACTAGACTATAGACTAGACTATAGACTAGACTAGAGACTAGACTATAGACTGCTAGACTATAGCTAGACTATAGACTATACTATAGACTAGACTATAGACTAGACTATACTAGACTATAGACTAGACTAGACTATAGACTAGACTAGACTATAGACTATACTATAGTCTAGTCTAGACTATAGACTAGACTAACATTTGACTTTGAAGAAATGTAGAATATTCGAAAAAAAAGTAGAATATACGAAAAACTCTTTTAACCCTTAAACACATTTATGGGTTAATTTCATGCAAATACTGTAGTGTGTTATATACCTTTATATTCTAATATTTAATAAATAGATTATTTACGAATTCTTTCAACTATAAAAAGAATTATCTTATAAAATTATATTCATTAAAACTAAAAATTTCTTTAACAATTTAAACAAATGGCAAAAATTTAATTAAAAGACATTTAGCAAATAGCGAGAGCGACCCTGAACTTTGGTTCTTTGTTTAAATATGTTAAAATATGTAAAAGAATAACATGTCACAAACATTTAATTACTTTTTTCGAAAGTCTGTAATATGTAAAACTTTCCAGCGAATGTAAATTCTAACAGTTAGGGGAGGATTTTAAGGAAATACTTAACTTACATATGGACTTTTAAATGGACACTTATGGTGCGTTAAAACACTTTGTAGAATAATTACAGGTTAAGTTTAAATTTGTATATAAAATATTTAGAAAAATATTAGATTTTTAAATTAATTAAAAGTAAATTAGTTTTTTTAGTTAAATTAAACATAAAATTTCTACTTACGATTATTGTTATTTCCACTGAATTCATCTTGAAATTGTTGCTGTTGCTGCTGTTGTGATCGGGTTAGTTGTTCATTTTGATTCATTAAAGAAGTGGAAGATAACGATGATGTTTGATCAAATTCAGAAAATCCTGAAGAATTTGTTAAAGTTGTTGAGGTGGCTGAGACAGCAGTGAATATATCTTCTATGGGCGAAGGTGTAAATTTCTCTACGAAAATATCTTTTTCATCTTTAACTTTAATGTTGGATTGTTCTTTAGCTGAGAGTATATCAGCAACACGAGCTCGTGCATCCCGTATGGAGGGTCTTTTTTGTATGAGTGTGGAGAGTGGTTGTGAAGTAAAGGATGTGGTAGTTGATTCAAAAGGTGGTGGTGATATTTGTTCCTCTTTTATGTTCATGACTTGTGGATCAGTGGGTAATGGGGGTAGTTGTGAGGTTGATGGCATTTTAGATTTGTTTTGTTGTAAAGTTGGTAGGGGAGGAGATTGGGATCTCGGTTGCATGGTTGGTAGAGGAGGAGATTGGGATCTTGGATGCATGGTTGGTAGAGGAGGAGATTGTGATCTTTGCTGCATAGTAGGCAGACAAGGAGATTGTGTTCTCTGTTGTTGAGTAGGCAGAGGAGGAGATTGTGATCTTTGCTGCATGGTGGGCAAAGAAGGGGATTGTGATCTCTGTTGAGTAGGCAGAGGAGGAGATTGTGACCTTTGCTGCATGGTGGGCAAAGGAGGTGATTGTGATCTTTGTTGTTGAGTTGGCAGAGGAGGAGATTGTGACCTCTGTTGCATGCTGGGCAAAGGAGGTGACTGTGATCTTTGCTGCATGGCCGGTAAAGGAGGTGACTGTGATCTTTGCTCCTTATCTACTGTCATAGATATTGTGGTATTTTGTGACACACTATAATCAACTTCCATGGGTTCAAAACTGGTATCCATGGCAGTTTGATCTGTCGGTTCTGGGGATAATTCCGTAGAAGGCACATTAAATGTACGTCTCGCATTAATTTCATTTTTATCACTGACTGACAGAGATTCTTGCGGCATAATGACAGTGTCATTAACAGCAAAAGTGCGACGTTGATTATCAGGTTTATCCAGAGAAGGAAACTGCATAAGTTGGGAAGATGCAGTACTCTCAGTCGTGCTAACAGCAAATGTACGACGTTTTTCTTCAGCCGTCTTCTCCTCACTGAGTGTTTCAATGGAAAAAGTTTGACGTTTATGTTTCAATTCATCAGTATTTGTGTCCAATTGATGCAGAGGTTTTGGCATTGCAGTATCCACAGCGTAAGGCTCCACAAATGTGCCATTCAAATTATTTGCCACAGAAGTTGCCACCGATGACTCGATATAGGTACCATTTAAATCATTAAGAGATTTTTCTGTGGTTGTTTGAGTTTGTAGATTTGAAAAGTAATCAGATTTTTCCAGAAAGGGTGACTCTTTGGGGTTTTCTTTTTGAGCTTTGGGTGAACGGGGAAAACCAGTATTTTGTGCTGGTTTAATGGGAAAAGCAGGAGAGGTGGGTGCTGATTTTTCACTTTTCTGGGAAGTACTTAAGCCCAAAGTTAAATTTAACTTAGTTTCAGGTTTATTATCAGCCTTAGCAGTTGATTTGGTTGAAGAATTGCTAGTGGTGCTGGTGTTCATGCAATCTATGGTTAAATTGTGATTATTTAAAGAGTCGATATTCTCCTGGGGAGCTGTAGCTGCTGCTTTAACTGAAGAATTGCTGGTAGAGCTGATGTTCATGTTATCAATGGTTAAATTGTGTTCGAACGAAGTGTCAGTTTTCTTTAGTTGTTTAGATGCAGCTGATTTGGCCGATGAATTGCTAGTAGTGCTGGTGTTCATGGCATCCATGGTTATATTAAGATTACTTGCAGTATCCTCAGTTTTCTTTGGCTGCAATTCCTTATTATCCTCCTGACTCACTTCCTTGTTAACAGTTTCAATTATACATTCAGAACTGACCGTCTTATTCACAGGCAATTCTACACTTTTATTTAAAGACAATTCATGTTTCGATTGTTCCATTTCTAAATGTTGTGCAGCATTACTTTCCACTGGTGTATTAACCACAAATGTCATTTTGGAAGTTTCCGTTTGTTTTTCCAACAAACCTTCAACATTTTCTTTATTAAAATCTTCCAAAGGTTTTTTCTCCTCGATATGTTGTAGAATATTTTCTGCATGTTGCAAAACCCGTTCCACATGTTGTATATTATTTGAGGTGTTGTGTATTATTTCCATAGTAGCATTCATATCAACATCCATGGGTTCATCTGTATCCATGGCTTCAAATTGTTGTGGTATATCTTGGTGTGTTATCTCTTCGTATGCTTGATTTTGTATAAGTTTTTGTAAAGGTTGTCCCTCAGCTTCCATGGTTATATCGGCTATATTTTCCATGGTATTATTAAGATTAGTATTTAAACTATTATTGACGGCACTTTGATAGGATTCCAAATCAGTGGTTGCATCCAATGGTCCTTGTTCGGCAAAGGTGGTGGCTAAAGGATCGCGTTCATCATTGCAATCGGCAAAAGTTTCATTTTCAGATGAAATCGCATCTGTTTCAGTGGGTAAAAGAAGATGAGTTTTATCCACAATAAATTCATCGGGTACTGTTTAAGACAGAGAATGATAAAAAGGGAAGGTGGTAAATATTTGTCTAGTTCTAGAGATGTGAAATTTTTGACTAACCTTTAGTGCCTTGTTGGGCAGTTAATGTGGGTATAAAACATTCTTCAAATGTAACATTATATTGTTCTAAAATAAAGAGAATAAAGAGGGAAGTGTTAAAGATAAACTTTGAATCTGTTTTCAGATTTTCTTATTCTAATATTTCAAAAAAATTTCTCTAAAAGTTAAGGCATATGAAAGTGAAAAGCTTATGAATATCACAAGAAGCTTGGAATGCTATTATGATAGTATGGAAATGATAACACCTTTAAATCTTTAATGTTTGATTGATCTTTGTCTGAGAGAGTAATAGCAGCATGATCGCGAGCATCAAGTTAAGATGCTCCTATTTTTATGATTGTGGATAGAGGTTGTGAAGCGAAGGATGTACGGATCGATTCAAAGGATGTTGATGAAATTCTATGATTTATTTTCTTGCAAAGTTAACAGAGGAGGAGGTGTTGGGATTATGGGGACATAGGCTTAGGTTAAGAAGAGTTTTGCACCATAAAAAAGTGCAACTCCATTCGGATACCATACTGTCCATTGTGATTCTCTTCGTAGAAAGTGAAGATCCCAAGATAAAGAAACAAAACACTAGAAACTTAAAAAATAACTTAAATAAAGAGGAAAGAAGAAAAATAAACGAGTCAAATTCCAAGGGGTTTAGATCCAGAAGATTTACTCAGTCTTTTCCCAGAAGAAATCTGGCTGAATCTAAGTCTCCCTATAAAACCCAAATCCTGTTAAAGATGGTAGACTGAGTGAATTAAGTCTCGCAAAAGTACACAATTCATCATCGGTGAACTTGAGATTCTGTATTCAAGGACAGTGACAAATTATATGCTCGATCGTCTCTCGAACTTCTGCATTTTCACTCTCCTTTCCCTGTCAAGTGTTGAACGTAAGGTGTTTGATATTTTACATTCTACTATTTTAGGACTAGTTGATGATGTCGCGGATTCTTTCGAATATCAACCTGTGATAATGATATATGGGTAGTTTCACTCTCAACAATATTAAGGTTTGAACCTTGCTTGTTCATCCGCAACCTCATTACCAGCATATTGCAGGGCTCGGGCACTCAAACAAGCTAACGGTAAACAGTCTCATAATGTCCTTAATGTACAATCAGGCGCGAATGTAACGAATGACAGGCCAAAGCTCTATGAGCAGCTTGACTACCAAAATAAGCTGTCACAACAGACCCGAGATCGATATGATTCCGTATCAATTGTGTTGTTTTACAGGTCACTAGAGGGTCTGCTTGGAAGAAACTCGTCAACGAGTCTGGAGAACATTTTTATATCGGTATCGGCACGGGTTTCGGGTTACTACATCGGGCATCTGACTTAAATCTAAAGGAATAGTTTGAGATATGTTATCATCGCTTTTTTGAAGGTTCTTCCTGATATATCTCTGCTGAACTCTTAGGTATGTAATCCAAAGTTAGGATGTTTCCTCCTGCGACCTAGCTATAGAATCTGTTAGATGTTGTGACATGAGGTGATGTCCCAAATGTAGGTAATCTTCCGAAGTGAAAGTCTTTGGAGTCCGTTTCTATAGCTTTGACAATTTGTCAACTGCATACGAATTAGTTGGAGCTAATTCAAAAATAGTCTGCGACTAATTATCCTGAGCCACAGACAATAGATTTTTTTATTAGTGAACAAGGTTTCGTATTCAAAACCCAGCCTGTCAACTTCGTAATAGCATGACTTGAGGAGCTAAACACGCAGTGAAAGGTGGAAATAAGTATTTAGTTGTTGTTAAGCACAGTGTTAGTTAAAATTGTTGTTAATCACATTGTGTGCTTAATGATCTTTGTTAAACACGATTTTAAATAGCCCTTAATGGTGAAAGAATGGATGGTGATCGTATGAAGGGCTAAATCCGTTAATAGTGATGGAATGGTAAACGTATCGAAGTCTAACAGCAGTAACAGGATATGTCACAAAAAATCTTAAAATGTGATTCAAATTGGATCCATCCATTGGATTGGATGAGAATTAGGGTGTTTTATTAAACCGATAGAACTTGATAAGTAAATGCAATGATAGACTTGAGCAGCGTTCGTCGGCATAATGTGACCCTGTAACTATCCAGATTCATCGAATTGAGAAGGAGTGCCGGGGTTCTCTTTGAGAACTTGTAAAAAACACTCCCATACGTTTTTGTTTCACTACATCGCAGTTAAACTGGGATATAGATCCATCAACCTTGTTTAGGTCAATGGCGGATCGAATGAGGTTGTCTTTGGCAATCTCGCTGAAAGAACGCATTTGTTTGGGTTGTTTTGTTTCTAACTGCCGGCTTACAGTTACTGCCTTTTCCTTTGAACACTAACGTTTAGGCGCCTCTTCCGTTGCCACTTCAGATTGAGCGATATGAGCCATGGCTTACTGTAGGGAAGCTTTTTGAAGCCCAACAACTTGTAGTTGCCTCCCGTTTGGTGGGTTTTTTGTGCCGAGTTGTTGGTTGCTGATTGCCGGACTTGGTAGGGGATGATACATCTTAAGGACAGAAGGATACAGTCACTGAACTTGTGATGGGTACAGCATTGGGAATCAGGGTTATGATCCATCGTTTTTGAAACGCCTTGGATTTTTGGGCTGCAGTAGCTTTGTAGGTACATGAAGAGAAGTCCAGAGGAATCTTGCAGCTTATGGAGCAACTATTATGGTGCCGGAGTGATCTCCTACGAGGTCAGATTCATTTTCGAAGAAATACGGTTCGATGATGACAGTAACTAATAAAAATATCAAAAATTGATGTTGTTTGAAGAGCTGCTGGAGATCGAACCATGTTCGCGATTACCATGTCATTCTTAGTAGTCAAATACTTTAACTAATTAAGCTACAACACGATTACCATGTCATTCTTAGTAGTCAAATACTTTAACTAATTAAGCTAGAACATTATATATTTGGATAGTTAGGTAGCGTTGCTCAACCGTCGCTTCCGGCTGTCTTATCAAACTAATTTTCAAAGGACTGCTGCAGTAAGTTAATAATTTTAATAGAAACTTAATAATTATCAGAAATTTAAGTTTTTTGGAGAGTGGCTGGAGATTAAACCAAGGTCGCCAGTACCATGTCATGCTTAATAGTCGAACAAATTAAACACTTAAGCTGCAGCACCCTTTATTTAGATAATTTAGTAGCGTTGCTGAAACGTCCATCAAATCATGATGAATTCTCAGAGTATATTCCCTTCCATAAGTTCTATCGGTCTTAAAAAATTCCCCTTATAAGGTAATAAAATTAACAGAAAATCAATTTTGAACTTGTATAACTTATCATGTTACTGCAGTAAACTCTTCTATGGTTAATGATAATTACTTGCGACCTCTTTTTTAATTAAAAATTTTCAAACTAGATTTAAAAAATCTTTCCAAACTTTCCTACCTTCAATATTTGGATTTAAATCACCTGGTAATTCGGGTATTTTAGCTTCATCAAATTCAGTTAAACCTTTTAAAGAAAAAATACAAATAAATTAATTTATAAAGAACAAAAAATTTAAAAAGTTAACAACAACTCAACTTACCCACAAACTTATTGGATGATTTATTAACACCAGAATTATTCAATTGATCTCTGGCCGCCTGTTGGTGTTGTTGATGGTCATCGAATATACCAGTTTCCAATTCTGGATCAATATGAAATTTATGTATTGAAGAATTATTTTCAAAAACCGTATTAGTACTGGCTGTACCAGCAGCCATTGTGGGAGTTTTATTGGAATTAATTTGTATATTCGAGGCAGATGAAGAAGAATTTAACAGTTTTGAGTTGTTTAAAGCCGCTTTAGAAGATAAGGGACTCAACTGTAAATAACATATAGAAAAAAGAAAAACATAGAAATTTAATTAATAAACTAAAAACTAAAACATAATGAATGAATTCATTTCTTATTTTGGGAAAATCAATGTCATGTTTAAAAGAAAATGTTTGCATGTTTAAAAATTTTGCTTTATATAGAAAAACACCACAAATTTATTACATTTTCTTGCAAATTTATGAAAAGAAAATTATCTTGTATTTTTTTCAAATCATGCAAACAATGTAATGAAGAAAAAAAAAAAAATATTTAAAAAATTCATACACGAGAGGTATGAAAATAAGTTTTTTTTTCGTTTGTATTTATTATAAACTAAATAGAAATAAATATAGCAAAAATAACTACAAATGTCTGCTAGATTCAAAATAAAAGGGCCCCTACTGTCAACATGCAACTGCCACCAAAATAGAAAAGAAATTGTTTACATGTTTAATATCAAATGATATTAATTAAAATTGGGTACACCAGCTGGGAAGAATGACAAGATTAACACGAAATGATAAAATAATAAATTTTGTATATTTATTAAAGAAATTTATGGCAGGAGGCTGGTTTGTTGAATTATTTTAAGATTAATGTAATGATATATGGTTAAAACTTGCGAAGGCAAAGGAAATTAAACAAAATACCATTTGAAGATCCAGAGTTAAAAAAGGAAAAAGTCTATAGTCTAGTCTGCAGTCTAGTCTATAGTCTAGTATACAGTATAGTCTAGTATATAGCATAGTCTATAGTCTTGTCTATAATCTAGTTTAGTGTCCAGTGTTTAGCCTAGTCTACAGTCTAGCCTATAGTCTAGTCCATAGTCTAGTCTATAGTCTAGTCTATAATCTAGTCTATAATCTAGTCTATAATCTAGTCCATAGTCTGGTCTATAGTCAAGTCTAAAGTCTAGTCTATAGTCTAGTCTATAGTCTATTGTATAATCTATAACCCAGTCTATAGTTTAGTCTATAGTCTAGTCTTTAGTCTAGTCAATAGTCTAGTCTATAGTCTAGTCTATAGTCTAGTTTATAGTCTAGTCTATAGTTCTAGTCTATAGTCTAGTCTATAGTTAGGTCTATAGTCTAGTCTAGTCTAGTCTATAGTCTAGTCTATAGTCTAGTCTATAGTCTAGTCTATAGTCTAGTCTATAGTCTAGTCTATAGTCTAGTCTATAGTCTAGTCTATAGTCTAGTCTATAGTCTAGTCTATAGTCTAGTCTATAGTCTAGTCTATAGTCTAGTCTATAGTCTAGTCTATAGTCTAGTCTATAGTCTAGTCTATAGTCTAGTCTATAGTCTAGTCTATAGTCTAGTCTATAGTCTAGTCTATAGTCTAGTCTATAGTCTAGTCTATAGTCTAGTCTATAGTCTAGTCTATAGTCTAGTCTATAGTCTAGTCTATAGTCTAGTCTATAGTCTAGTCTATAGTCTAGTCTATAGTCTAGTCTATAGTCTAGTCTATAGTCTAGTCTATAGTCTAGTCTATAGTCTAGTCTATAGTCTAGTCTATAGTCTAGTCTATAGTCTAGTCTATAGTCTAGTCTATAGTCTAGTCTATAGTCTAGTCTATAGTCTAGTCTATAGTCTAGTCTATAGTCTAGTCTAGTCTATAGTCTAGTCTATAGTCTAGTCTATAGTCTAGTCTATAGCATAGCAGAAATATAGAAGGTAGTCTCAATCAAAAAAATTAAATTTAAATAAGGTTTTTTGACGTTTTCCTTATTTTAAACTTTATATACAGAGTTGCCACATGTTAAAAATAATAATGGATTTCAAGAAATATTTTACAAAAAATGTGTAGTTAATTTATCTAAATAAAATGTGTGTTATATTAAAGGATGTTAATTAAATTACTGATTTCCTCTACAAACTTATAAATAATAAATATGTCAGATTTTGCTTAATAAGTTGTATTTTTAAGATAGATATTACAAAACTCATCACATTCTAGTGTATACTAAACCAACGCATTTACATACCTGGTAGTTATTGGGATAGCATTTCTATTTTTGCATCTTTCAAGCCACTGTTGGCGTTTACCCGGTAATATAGGGACTTTAAAAAAACTTACATTGGAATTTTTGCAGAAGTATTTCGTATTTTCGCAGTTCGGGAAAATGCAGCTCATATTTATTCTCTAATTAATTTTACAAATTAGTTTACAAAGATTTTAATATAAATGTGATTTTATTCAAAAGAGCTATTTTTATAATATTTTCTAACTGAATTGAAATTATTTTTATAAATTTTTTACATAAACTTCAAAGCATATATAGAAATTTCATTATAAAAAGGGAAAAATTAAACTGTATATGGTATCACTAATTTAACGAAAACTTCAAAATCCTTAAGCATGTCAGATAGAGAATTTAAAAAAATAATGAGAGATTGACACTACCTTCTATATTTCTGCTATGGTCTATAGTCTAGTCTATAGTCTAGTCTATAGTCTAGTCTATAGTCTAGTCTATAGTCTAGTCTATGGTCTAGTCTTGTCTATAGTCTAGTCTATAGTCTAGTCTATAGTCTAGTCTATAGTCTAGTCTATAGTCTAGTCTATAGTCTAGTTTATAGTCTAGTCTATAGTCTAGTCTATAGTCTAGTCTATAGTCTAGTCTATAGTCTAGTTTATAGTCTAGTCTATTGTCTAGTCTATTGTCTAGTCTATAGTCTAGTCTATAGTCTAGTCTATAGTCTAGTCTATAGTCTAGTCTATAGTCTAGTCTATAGTCTAGTCTATAGTCTAGTTTATAGTCTAGTCTATTGTCTAGTCTATTGTCTAGTCTATAGTCTAGTCTAGTTTATAGTCTAGTCTATAGTCTAGTCTATAGTCTAGTTTATAGTCTAGTCTATAGTCTAGTCTATAGTCCAGTCTATAGTCTAGTCTATAGTCTAGTCTATAGTCTAGACTATAGTCTAGTCTATAATCTAGTCTAGTCTATAGTCTAGTCTTTAGTCTAGTCTATAGTCTAGTCTATAGTCTAGTCTATAGTCTAGTCTATAGTCTAGTCTATAGTCTAGTCTATAGTCTAGTCTATAGTCTAGTTTATAGTCTAGTCTATAGTCTAGTCTATAGTCTAGTCTATAGTCTAGTTTATAGTCTAGTCTATTGTCTAGTCTATTGTCTAGTCTATAGTCTAGTCTATAGTCTAGTCTATAGTCTAGTCTATAGTCTAGTCTATAGTCTAGTCTAGTCTACAGTCTAGTCTATAGTCTAGTCTATAGTCTAGTCTATAGTCTAGTCTATAGTCTAGTTTATAGTCTAGTCTAGTTTATAGTCTAGTCCAGCGGTTCCCACAGATTTTTACTTCGCGGACCCCTTGGAGAACTTATTTAATTTCGCGGACCCCCATACATATTTTGATATCTTATTGTTCTAAATAATTGTCCATCCGAAAATTGACCTAGTTCATTAATCCCTAGGTCTAATAAATGTAGAGATGTCATATCTATAAAATATTCCCGTACATTGAGAATATATAATATTTCAGATAGGTTTTCAATTGCATGTTTTGAAGATAGAATGACTTCTTTATTGATATGTTAACATGATGTTTAATTTTATGTTCGTGAGATCTTTCATGTTCATTTTTCTTCAAGGTAGCGAAAAGGTTTCTTTATCAAATATTGTCACATGTGCTTAAGGAGTCACGTTTCAAAAATTTGTTGCGATTGCAAAGGGTGAACTGATTAAGTGAGCTAAGTTTTCGGGAAAATAATATAAGAAAGTTGGACTTCTTCTATGTTGTTGCGGAATGAGTTATCCGCATAATATATGATTTGAACTCTTTGTTAAAGTATGTACTGTGAATTTGGAACTTAAATTTGAATTTTAAAATACCAACGAATTTTGTCGGATCTGTTTTGGAAATATATAATTTTAGTCATTTCAAATGAGAACACTTTTGCTTACAATTTGATAAACTTAAATCTGTAATAAGCTTGTCTTTGAATTGAACTTCATACTCCGGAATACCAGTATCCCTAATTTAATTGTAAGGCAGAGTATTATTTGTCTGAAATAAAAACCATTATTTCAGTACATATACAGGAAATAAAAATTACAAATCACGCAGTACTTTACTTTATAAAAGTTATACAATAAGTTTGTAGGCTCTAGCTTCTTCCTGATAAACAATCGAAAAATAAAATTCAAAAGTCACAAAAAATTTGGGATTATTGCACAAAAATTGGAGATATTTTGTACATACATATAAAAGCAGAATATTGTTTATTCATGGTTTTTTTCGTTCGTCTTCGCGGACCCCCTAGGATTTTACTACGGACCACTAGGGGTCCGCGGACCCCCATTTGGGAACCGTTGGTCTAGTCTATAGTCTAGTCTATAGTCTAGTTTATAGTCTAGTCTATAGTCTAGTCTATAGTCTAGTCTATAGTCCAGTCTATAGTCTAGTCTATAGTCTAGTCTATAGTCTAGTCTATAGTCTAGTCTATAATCTAGTCTAGTCTATAGTCTAGTCTTTAGTCTAGTCTATGTCTAGTCTATAGACTAGTCTATAGTCTAGTCTATAGTCTAGTCTATAGTCTAGTCTATAGTCTAGTCTATAGTCTAGTCTATAGTCTAGTCTATAGTCTAGTCTATAGTCTAGTCTATAGTCTAGTCTATAGTCTAGTCTATAGTCTAGTCTATAGTCTAGTCTATAGTCTAGTCTATAGTCTAGTCTATAGTCTAGTCTATAGTCTAGTCTATAGTCTAGTCTATAGTCTAGTCTATAGTCTAGTCTATAGTCTAGTCTATAGTCTAGTCTATAGTCTAGTCTATAGTATAATCTAGTCTATAGTTTAGTCTATAGTCCAGTCTATAGTATAATCTATAATCTAGTCTATAGTCTAGTCTATAGTCTAGTATCTAGTCTCGTCTATAGTCTAGTGTATAGACTAGTCTATGGTCTAGTCTACAGTCTAGTCTATAGTCTAGTTTATAATCTAGTCTATAGTCTAATCTATAGTCTAGTCTATAGTCTAGTCTATAGTCTAGTCT